AAGAGATCTCTCTCTCTCTCATTATGCCTACAATCATTATCCTCGGTTGCCTCTCACGCATGCTCTCTTCACTCCAAACTCCACTCTGTATTGATCACTATGTACTCCCCTCTCTATAAATCTCTTGCATCCTCCCACCCTCTTGCAAACTCAGCTTTCCTACTCTTCTCTTTCGTCTCATCCCACGTCTCAATTATTCTACAATATGTCGGTCTCCGGTTTCGAAGGCTTTGAAAAACGCCTTGAACTCCGGTTCTTCGGCGACGACCCTCTCGGTCTCCGTCGCCTCCCGATCTCCACCATCAACCAAGTCCTCACGCCGTGCAATGCACCATTGTGTCCAGACGAGCTGGGCACCGCTGCATTTGACGCGTATGTCCTTAGTCGAGTCGAGCCTATTTAGTCCTATCCATACAAGATCATAATCAAGACTGTCGGCCACAGACGCAACTCCTCAAAGGGCATCCCTGTCCCTTCTACCTCACACTTTGGCCCTTGGTCTCAGCTTGTCGTTCTCTCGGTATTCTCGGGCTCGTTCATGTTTCCCCAGATAGCCAGCCATCGCCACATTCTTGCTTCGCCGATGAAGTGACATACTTGGAGAGGTTCTTGCCTTCAGATTTACGTCATCGGAAGGCCTGCATTCTTCCGTCGAACGGTCGGCACTCTTGGCATGTGTTCTCTGCTTCGGTGTTCGATGAAGGTATTCAGGTGTTAGATGAATTGACGGTTGAGGTCTGCATGACGGACCTTGACCGCGAGCTTGCAAGCGGATTCTACCGCAAGAAGGCCGATCACAGCCTGTCCGGCGATGAAGTAGGGAGGGCAATGACACAATCCACCGGGATTGATGGCATCAATCCCCGATCCCTAGTCTGCGGATTCGCATTTGAGCCGTGCGGCTACTCAATGAACAGTCTTGACGGTGACTTCTACTCGCGATCAAGTCGGTCGGAATGAAGTGCCGGAGCCGGGCGATGGAGGACTTCCCCGGCGCCGGACCGGTCACCTACCACACCTTTTCGGCGCGTCGAAAATAGGACACGTGTCAAACGCATATTGCAAGTTGTTGGCCATAGAGGGCGCACAAATGTGGGATCACAAAAGTTGTTGTAACTGGCATAAGTGAACTTTTTTGGAGGAGGGAGAATCTTTGAGTACACTTAGAAAGGATGCACGTATTTATGAATGAATGAGAGGAGCACTATGATGCTAGTGTTCCACTTGAGAGCGTTGCACGCCTGTTGTTGGATAAATACTTGCTTTTTAGTGGTACTGAGGATACTGTCCTCTAGCCTAGATATCTTTCCTCCTTTTTTGCATTCTTCTCTCTTTTTGTTATTGCTCTAAAGGTAAAAAAAGAAAAGGTACATCTTTTTTTTTTGTTCACTTGCTCCTTTGTGCTTGCTTTGTGATTGTACGATTTTGATTCTGATCGTGATGGTGATCCCTCTCTCAACTTCTCTTTATCCATATTCCATCTTGCGCGTATATTCGGTTGGCGTTTGTGGCTAAATCTAGAATAAAACAAATAAATCTGTTACAGAGCTTAAGTGTTATATTTTAAAGTTTTTTCAAGTTTAGCTACTGTGTGTCATGAAAAGTTGTTCTTAAAGCAATATTTGCCAAACTCTAAGCAACAGTTGGTAAAACACCACATGTTGCAATATCATGTTTCCTTTCTTTCTCTCCTGGAAACCAAGATTAAGGGCACATTGTTACCTGTTGTGGCAAAGAAAATAGCAAATTGTTGGAATTGGATTTCTAATGTTAGGGTGCCTGGTAAAGCCAGAATTTTTATACTATGGGATACAAAAATCTTGGATGCTCAAGTCATAGCTTCATCTGATCAGCATATAACCTGCTTAGTAAAATCCTTGGATGGGTTAATGGAATGTGTCATATCTTCTGTATATGGACATAATCATCTGGAAGACAGGAAGACATTGTGGGCAGATCTTATTCAGATTAATCATAATATTGGAAATGCTCCTTGGCTACTATGTGAGGACTTTAATGCTATGATTAATTGTGATGAAAACCTAGGAGGATCTGCATTAACTGAAGCTGATACATGTGACTTCAGGGATTTTATTACTAATTGTAATCTCAATCATCTTAAGACCTCTGGCTGCTTCTACACTTGGAATAACAAGCAAAGCTCTGATTCTAGAGTTTGGTGTAGGCTTGATAGGGCTTTGGTTAATGATGCTTGGATTCATTTATTCAACTCTAGCCATGTGGAATTCCTTCTCCCAAATTGTTCAGATCATTCTCCAGCTCTTGTCTCTATATATGATGATCAGATACAGGGTAAAAAACCTTTCAAGTTTTTCAATATGTGGATTAAGCATCAAAGTTTCTCTACCACAGTTTCTAATGTCTGGAAAGGAAATATTAAGGGATTCACTATGTATTCAGTGTACTCTAAACTGAAAATGCTGAAGATTGCTCTTAAGGGATTAAATAAGAAACATTTCCATAACATTAGTGAGCAAGTCCAAAGGGCCAGAATTGCTCTGGAGAATGTTCAGGAAAATCTTCAAAACTCCCCCTTTGATCCTGTTCTTATTAAACAAGAGAAAGAATGTCTGGTTACTCTTAACAGGCTTATGGATTGTGAACTTTCTTTCTTCCAGCAAAAAGCTAGGATTAATTGGAATTTGCAAGGTGATAGGTGCTCCAGGTTTTTTCATGCTTTGGCTAAAACAAAAAGGCACCATAACAGAATTGTTGTTCTATACAACAGCAGAGGTGATAAGATTACTGATGGTGATGGCATTGCTGATGAATTGGTGGCTTTTTATAAAAGCTTAATGGGTACTGCTTTAGTCATTGCTCCTCCTGACATGAATATCATCAAGTCTGGGTATTGTTTAAATGAAACTCAAGCAAAATACCTATCTAGACCAGTCACTAAAGAAGAAATCAAAGCGGCAATATTCTCCATGTCAGAGTTTAAGGGACCTGGACCTGATGGGTTTAATGTTTCTTTCTTTAAAGCTGCTTGGGACATCATAGGGGATGAGGTTACATTGGCCATTGAAGATTTTTTCAGGACTGGAAGACTTTTAGGCACGGTTAATTCAACCTTCATTACTCTTATACCTAAAGTGCAGTGCCCTAAAGTTCCTTCAGATTACAGACCCATTTCATGTTGCAATAGCATTTACAAATTCATCACTAAAATTCTAGCTAACAGGATCAAGGAAATGATGGGGTGTCTGGTTAATGGTGCTCAATGTGCTTTTGTGAAGGGTAGGTTAATCTCAAATAACATTATGCTTGCCCATGAACTGGTGAAAAGTTACAGTAGGAAGCTGTTATCTTCAAGGGTGATGTTAAATATTGATATAAAAAAGGCCTTTGACTCAATCAGCTAGGGATTTATATCAGATATGCTCAGAGGGCTGAATTTCCCTCCAATCATGGTAAATTGGATAATGGAGTGCATCACCTCCCCCAAATACTCTATTTCTCTAAATGGATCATTACATGGATATTTCAAAGGTCAAAGGGGGCTCAGACAGGGAGATCCACTATCACCTTATCTGTTCATATTAGGCATGGAATATCTATCTAGGAGCTTGAGTCTCTTAGAAAAGGACAGGAAATTCAAATACCATCCCAAGTGTGCTAAACTTAAAATATCTCACCTCATTTTTGCTGATGATTTGCTCCTATTCTCTAAAGGTGATTTCTACTCTGTGTCCAAGCTCTATCATTGTTTCAAGGAGTTCAGTTCCATTTCAGGTTTGGAGGCAAATATACAGAAAAGCTCTATCTACTATGGTGGTGTGGATGAAAATACCAAAAATTCTCTTCACAATCTGCTGGGATTCTCTTCTGGTACATTGCCGATCAGGTATCTAGGGGTTCCTCTGACATCTAAGAGATTATCTTTCATGGACCGCAGTTCATTATTTTCAAAGATAACTGGTCAGTTTCAGAATTGGTTAAAACATAGGAAACTTTTCTATGCTGGCAGGCTGCAGATCATCAAAAGTGTTATCCTTGGAGTCCAAATATTTTGGACTTCAAACTACATTTTGCATGTCAGAGTTCTTAAAAGAATAGATGAGCTTTGCAGAAAGTTCCTATGGGGTAATTCTGATCAATCTTTTAAAGCTTCTCTTGTCTTGTGGGAAAGGGTGTGCATGAGCAAGGATCAAGGAGGTCTAGGGATATTTTCTGCCCTCAACTGGAATATTGCTTCAGCCATCAAGTGCATCTGGAACATCCACATCAACAAAGAATCCCTTTGGATTAAATGGATTCATGAAAATTATTTAAAACATTCAAACATTTGGCTAGTGGTTGCAAAGCCTGGTGATTCCTGGATGTGGAAACAGTTGATTAGAACAAGAGATAAAGCTATGAATTTGTGTGGTGGCGAAAACAATCTGAAGTTGCTGATCAGTTCCTGCTGTAAAAACTCAAATCTCAGAATTTTTGCCATATACAATGCTCTCTTACAATCAGCGAATGAAGTGCAATGGTACAAAGTTGTTTGGGGAAGATTAAATATACCTAAACACTCATTCATCAGCTGGATAGTTTTTCAAGACAGACTTCTAACAAAGGACAGGTTATATAGGAGAGGAATCATAGATTCTAACCTATGTAGCCTATACGATGGTGCTTGCAGTGAATCCATGAACCACTTGTTCTTTGAGTGTGCATTCTCTTGCGAAGTATGGAATAGTATCATGGATTGGATGGATTTTAATTGGCGTACCTGTTACTAGCATCATGTTCTAGAGCAGTTAACTGTCAGACAGCGAGGGAAGGGGCTTAAGCAGCAACTCAAGAATTTGGCACTGACAGCAACTATTTATTACATTTGGAGGGAACGCAATATTAGAATCTTCCAACAAAAATGCAGGAGAACATCGCAGCTGGTTAGAGAGATCAAAACTGATGTTTGGATCACCATTCTCAACAATCCATTAGCTAGATAAATCTGAAATGTGACTTCCTCTTAGTGTGGTCGTATTTTTTGATTTTTAAGATGTTCTGTTGATTGATTTTGATCGCTTAGATTCTATTTGAGCAATTGTTGTACTTATCTTTCATATTTGGTTATGAATATAATTTTTTCATTGACCAAAAAAAATATTTGCCAAACTCTGGTGCAATGATCCCAAGGCCAAATTGTTTTCAGAAACAACAGTATAGTACTCTGGTGTGCACCAACCCAGTACTGTTAAGATCTCCTCGATCTATAAGACCTTTCGGTCAAGGCAAAGATCTTCTCGATCTGTTAAAACCTTTCGGTTCAATAAACTTTCGGTTTAATAACCTTTCGGTTCACGCAAAAAGTCTTTCGATCTGTAAAAACCTTTCGGTTTAGAGCTATGTTTCTTCGGGCACAGACTAAAGCTTTCACGCTTTCAGACTCTGAAGTAGTAGCACAAACGCACAAAACACTTTAGTGTTCTTCATATCTCTTTTTTATCTCTTATATCTAAGAGCTCCCCAAGAGACACTATATATAGGCCTCTAAGACCAACTCAAAGGTCACTCACATTTAATTTGACTGTTGCAAACATAATGACAATTATGATAATTATATTTGTAATGGCAAATAACATAAATATTGTAACTGTTGCATACAGTAACGTCTGAACGCGAGGGTTGCGATCCTGTGCATCACGAGAGTCGCGTCCAGCGTCGCGCAAACACGAGGGTCGCGTTCCCTCTTGTGAATGTGAGGGTTGCACCCTCATGCCAACACGAGGCTCGTCCGCGTGCTGCGAAGCAGACTGCGAGGCAGGCAACGTGGCACCAAATGGCGCCACCTAGCCTTAATGTCTCCGTACGAAGTGCAAAGTGCACCTTACAAAGCGTCACTTAACGCCTCAGCCGATTAGCCCCGATCCCCGACCCATTGCCTACGGGTCCATGGGTCCACGACCTACGGGCCTACGAACCATGGGCCCATGACAAATTATGAGGGA